GCCTCCCCAACCTTGTCCTTCAAAGCCTGCAGCTTGGGGTCAATGCTGGCCTTGAGGTCTGCTGGCACCTTGTCAGCCAGTTCTTGCAGCTGCTTCTCAGTTTGGTACACCAAGCTCTCTGCGTTGTTCTTGGTCTCCACTGCCTCTTTGCGCTTCTCGTCCTCTGCGGCATTGGCCTCGGCATCCTGAACCATCTTGTCCACATCGGTCTTGTCCAAGGTGGAGGAACCAGCAATGGTGATGGTCTGCTCCTTGCCGGTACCCCGATCCTTGGCAGCCACGTTCAAAATACCGTTGGCATCAATGTCAAAGGTGACCTCAATCTGTGGCACACCGCGAGGAGCAGGAGGAACACCGTCCAAGCGGAAAGTGCCCAGGATCTTGTTGTCTTTGGCAAACTGTCGCTCACCCTGCAACACTACAATCTCCACAGAGGGCTGAGAGTCCGTGGCAGTTGAGAAGACCTGACAACACACGTACCATGATCCGCCTCCGGTATCCTCTGGTGACAAATTCTCTGAAAACCTGACAAACCTACGGAAAAGATTCTTTAACTGGATTGATCCGGCCTCGGTTTTCTTGGTGGGGATGGTGGTGTTCCTGGGAATCAGCACAGTAGCCACACCTCCAAGAGTCTCCACACCCAACGAAAGGGGTGTCACATCCAGCAGCACAATATCCTTCACGTCTCCGGCCAGAACACCGGCCTGAACTGCTGCACCAACCGCCACAACCTCATCCGGATTCACGCTCTGATTGGGCTTCTTTCCGCCAACCAGTTCTGATGCCAAATCTTGGATGGAGGGAATTCGGGTGGAGCCACCAACGAGAACGATCTCGTCAATGTCGCTGGGCGAAAGCTTAGCGTCTTTCAGGGCACTCTCCACAGGGCTCCTGCAAAGACACTGTCTTGTATTGCTCTTGTGTTGTGTTGCATGATGATTCAAAAGCTAATGGATTCTAAAACCACGTAACTTCCAGAGAGCAGCTTCCCCCCCCCCCAGGGCAAGCACCCCTGCCTGCATCGAGTGATGAGCTTGCTGGCAAGCTGCTCAAACTTTGCGCGGGACAAGCTCTCTTCGATGTGCTTGGGGCCAGAGGCATCCGCAGTGATGAAAGGCAGAGAAATCTTGGCCTTTCAAACTA